TTACCGGTATGCAGAAAAACATAGGAAACTACAATATTCTCATTAAAATAAAATAAAAATCAGACACAGTACCTTCTGTGATGTCAGCATGATGATGGATTAACAAGCTCCAGGCATCTTGTTCCCTGACAGAAAACATCAAATAAACAATTATAGACTGATTAGAATAGCTTTCTGTGAGCTCTGGAAGCTATTAATAGTCAAGGGTATCCAACAATCAAGAAAAATGGCTAATCATGAAAAAGCCACACTCAAAACAGTAGGAAATTGTGTGGCATTTATTCTTGCCCTTACCACGTCTCCCCCCGAGAGTCAGAAGGAGCAGGCTCTTTTCTCAGTTTCCTCTTTTAAGATGCAAAGAAAATAATTGAACTTTGCAATGTTCTGCCCTGTCTGTTGGCTACCTGAGGGACTAGTTTCAGTATTGCCTGAGTCAGCACTCAGAAGAAAACATTAACTTAGTTTGGATCTCAGGTTGGAAGCCACAGAAGAGAGTATCACAATGAGTGAAAACTACAGGGGGACTGCAGACCTATGAATGACTGAAGGCAAGAGAATAGGAGCAAAGGAATACAGTACAACATATAAGACCTTAAGAAAAGCCTTATGGTCAGAGACCTAGTAGTAGCAGAGACAGGGCTTGAACCTAAGGTTTTATTCTAAAATTCATGCTCTTTTCACTGTATCACACTTTATCAACCACTTTATAGGAAAAAGCTTGGAAAACATTAATTATGGAGTACAAGGGAGAAAGAGAAATATCACATAACTCCAAACTTTGGAAGAAAAAGAATGAATGTTTAGACACTGAGTTAAAAGTGAAAGATAAATTTCCCTGTAGAATTGCCAGGTTGGTAGTTGGAAATATGTCTATAGCTCAGCAGAGAGGATAGTTATAAATATTTGAACTCATTTGTATTTAGATGATAGTTAAAGTCATGTGAGTGGATTAAATTATAATAGCAAAGAAAATGCTAAAGGTGGAATCTTCAAGATCCCAACATTTAGGAAGTTGGGTGAGAAAGAGAGGCCATTGAAGAAGGAAAAAAAAATAAAATAAAATATCAAATATGTCATGGAAATCAGGGAAGAGACAGATTCAAATGGGAGGACATAAAAAAAACAGCATCAAAATTATGGGATCTGTTATTATGAAGAAAGACTCATATATATGCATGGACATATCCAGTCCATGTTATCACGTAAGGATTATTTTCATATAGAATTTTAATGCACATTTCAATGTATGTATTCAGAGATGTAGATTTGGATTAACATTTGCCAAAATATTTTCATTAGCCTTAATTTTAATGTGTGAAACTAGTCAGTAAACATGTTTCCAGTAAGCATTTGAACTGTGTCTCCAAGTGCTTAAAGCAATATTTCTAACAATAATCTTTGGCCTCTCAATTTCTTATGAGCCCATTTTGAATATTGAACAGTTCTTTAGAAGACGTGATATGGCTTGTATACAGTACAAAACTATGGGTGTTTAAGAACATGTTATTTTATTTCTTCTTCTGTTTTCATTAGCATCTATTTGAGACACATTGTTAGGAGAAGAACAATTGTATTTGGGGCAACCAATTTTTGCTTTGTTTTGGTTTGTTTCGGATTTTATGTTGGCTTTCAATTCTGATTCACACGTTCAATTTCTAAGCCATCCTAAATTTAGGCTCTTTCTAAGAAAAAAAAAACAGTTTTTATTTAAGTTAGTGATAGTCATGTGAAGTGTCACCTAATAAAAAAAGACTCTAAATACCTTGTACATTAAATTGATACTTGAGTTTTAATATTAAAACACAATTTACTGGGTTAGTATATATACATATATCTCTTTGCTCTGTCAGCTGAGAGAGCCTAAAATCAGTGATACCCAGTAGCAATGAGCCCAGATATTGACTTCTAAAACAATTCTCCAATAAAAGGGACTAAGACTCCTTGGAGAAATAGCTAATTCTACACAAGATGAGCCCAGGACACCTTTTAGTGCCAGAAAGGAAATGCTAAAAATAAACTTATAATAATTGCATATGTCAAAGGGATACAGGAGCCAGCTACAAGACCTGCCAATGACTAAAGCTGGGACAATTTAAACAACAAAATGAATAAAGTAATATTGGATTATAAGCCAAAGTATAAAAGAAATATCCATGAGTTGATATTGTTATAGATAAATGATATTTCAGTCCTATAACTGTAGATTAAATAAATAAATTATAGATGGATAGAAATTTTCTACGATTCTATAATTTCTCTAAAATTAAAGTCTGTTAATTAAAGAAATAACAGTTCAAGACAATTTTTAAAAATATATTTAAAAATTGGTTATTCTTTCAAAGAACCAACTTTTTGTTTTATTAATCTTCCGTATAGTTTTCTTGTCAGTTTCGTTTAGTTCTGATTTGATCTTATTAATTTCACTTCTTCTGCTGGGTTTGGGGTCAGTATGTTCTTCTTTTTCCAGCTCTTTCAGTGGATTCATTAGGTTGTCTGTTTGTGATCTTTCTGTCTTTTGGATATAGGTATTTATGGAAATAAACTTTTCTCTGAGGACTGCTTTAGCTGTGTCCCACAGATTTCGGTAACTTGTGTCTCCTTTGTCATTTAGTTCAAAGAATCTTTTGATTTCCATCTTGATTTCCTCGTTTATGAAGTAATCGTTCAGAACGTTATTTAGTTTCCATGACTTTGTATAGAAATGAGAGTTTCTGTTAGGGTTGATTTCTACTTTTATTCCACTGTGGACTGAGAAGATACATGGTATGATTTCTATTTTTTAAAATTTTTTGAGACATGCTTTGTGTCCTAGGATATGGTCAATCTTAGAGAAATAAAAATGGAAATAACTGCATCCTGGCAGTTAAATCTAACTTAAGACTTAACATCTGTACAGAGAATTTTCATGTACATCATTTCATTTAATCCTCTAAAGAGCGCTGTGGCATAAGCATTATTGTTGGTAGTATTAATATTATTTTAATCCTCATTTTGTAGGAGAAAAGTAATGCTTAGAAGGTAAAGTGACTTGTACAAGATCACTCATCCAGTAAGTAGCAAGGACTAGAATTAAATCCAGGCATTACGGTTTCAAATTATAGGCTCTTTTCATTCCACCATTCAGCCTCCTAGGTTGAAATTTGTAGTTACCATATGATGAATAAAAGGGATAAACATTCTCTAGTGCAGTGGTCTCCATTATAACATCTGATCTGATATAGTATCTAAAATGGAGGCAAGAGAACTGAAATTGATGAGCTTTGAGAATTCACTAAGATTAAATTGGTTTTCTTTTTTTATTTATTTGTTTTCAATTCAGGATATTATGGGGGTACAAACATTTTGGTTACATAAAATGAGTTTGATCAGAATGGTTTTCAATAGATTATTTTTGTTGTTGGTGGTGGTGATTTGCTATTTGTTTTATTACATTATACTTTAATAATGACCAAGAGTAGATTATCATTTTTGTACTATTTTTATATCTTTAGATTAATATGTTTGTTGTATTTGGATGCCAAATTTTGATCTACTCATATTTCTTTGAGTACTAATTTCTTATTTCTTCATGTGACAGAAGATAGAGTTGCCTCTTTCTTTGTAAAATTTAATGAACTTATATATGGTTCATATTTATAGCATATTTAGATTTTAAAATTCTGCATTTTATTTAGAAAATGTACTTCAAATATCAAATACATTTACTATGCCCAGATAAAAACATTCCAAACTAGCTGGTAATTGAAGATACATTTTTTTGTCCTTAACTAAATTACGCTGATGAAAATTCAGAAAATAAAATTGTTTCCTAGCCAGAACCTCCCAGATATATTTCTTTTTTAGAATGTGCTCCACTCCAATACATGGTGCAGTTACATGAGGATAGCTAAGATAATTAAGCATTGAATGTTTACTTGACTCAGTTAATATGAATTGGACAATTACTCAAACAGAGGAAAGATTAGGATAAGGTGAGTTAAGTACAACCTGAATGCTTTCTAGTCTATAGTGCCAAAGGATTGTTCTTTTCTAGAATAAGTAAACAAGAGTTTACCTGCAGGGAGACAGCAGGCAATTTTTAGGTTATTCATGCCATGTTACTCTGATTATCAGTACAATATTGTGACTGGATATCCCAAAGATTCTTTAAAGATTGAAAAGATTTACAGAGGAATCATTTATTTGAATTAGACAAAAAGAGTAATATCACCTTGGACAAATTATCCTCAAAGAAAGATAGGCTGAGTTGGGGATGGGGGAACCTAAAACTAATCCTATCTAATGGTTAGAAAATGACTCCTGGAAGTGAGAAAAGTAACAAGCAAACTATTTGTGTGTTCATCCAACTATACAATTTTTAATCTACTGATTGTTAGCCCACTATTGTGTGATGTACAAAATACATGTAGATGGCTTTCATTATTGTAAATTCAATAGCTATGACATTTGTCTAAATACTGAGAAATAAAAGTGGAAATATGTGTGCTTTCTTGATGGGATTGACATTATAAAAAGTATTTTGGAACTCTTAGGCTTGAGATTCTTCAAGAAGTATTTTTTATATATTGAGTACCCCATTACGTAAAAGCTTTAGGACATAATGAAATTTTGTGAATTATTTTGAATCAGATATAAGGGTATTATGCCTAATGACATAATTATGGTACCCATATGAATCAATGAAAGAGGGTATTATTTTGACATTTATGTTTATAACAATCATCACTAGCCCTGTCAATGAAACATACAGAATTACAGTTCCATTACTGATATAAATACTAACCATGACACTTTACTTTAATGGAAGGTTAGGCAGTAATAATAGTGAAATATTTAAGGTTGGAAAGCATATTTTAATTTTACTTCAATCCAACATATTTCTTTTAGATATTGATGTGCCTAAATTTCCACTAGAAATTTGTACACTCACTAGAAAAAAAAATTGCAGTTTTTACAAAATGATGTGATACATCATATTTACATCCTTACTCCCTTTTCAGATCAGGTACAGAACATCTTGAAGAAATTAATGTCACCAGATCCGAGGAGCAGTTTCAAGCTGTAAACCATGCAGTGCAAACTCTCCGTAAAATGGAGAACTATGTGAAAGAGAAACAACTGTGTGATGTGCTACTCATTGCTGGACACCTCCGAATCCCAGCCCATCGGTAAGTATCCTTATACGGACAGAATGTTCGGTGGGTAGAGCAAGTATAAATAAAAGAGAATCAATACATTGATTATAAATTGTAACACTGGGGAAAATGTATATTTGGTTTCCTATATTGAAAAAGTATTAGCATATATGATCCATATATGAAGAGATTGATGAAGAAAAAGCACAGACAAACCCTCTGAAAGAAGATCAATTTACTTACTTCTAACTTACTACACTGGACTGAATTGTGAAAGTTTTATGCAGAAAACAGACTCACCAATGTTACAAACTTACTGAATGCATTGCATGCTTTTCAATTAAATTATGGATTGATATAAGTTCCTATGAAACATTCCTATCTCCAGGTTGGTTCTCAGTGCAGTGTCTGATTATTTTGCTGCAATGTTTACTAATGATGTTCTTGAAGCCAAACAAGAAGAGGTCAGGATGGAAGGAATAGATCCAAATGCACTTAATTCCTTGGTGCAGTATGCTTACACAGGTAAGTGTTTGACATACATTAACTGACAATAACCCTACATTCTATAACATACATTATTATTATTTCCACTCTTTTTTTTTTTTTTT